ACGCTCCCTGCTATCCGCAAAGGGGGACGAGGCTGAGGAGGCGACAGGTGCTGACTGGGCCACGAGACGAGGTCACGTGTGGCCACTCGCATGCCCGTGGGAGCAAAGGCCCTGAGAGCCCCGGTGCTGGAGCGCGTCTCAGAGCTGGGGAGTTCGATGTGGGGCCCGCCACGCGGTAGCCACAGGCTCCAGTTCAGTGGCTTTCATAAAATCTGAGTCGCTTTCTGTTGAGGGATAGAATCAAATGCTTTTCTTTAAATATTAAAAACCCGTTCAGTTCTCAGCCAAACCTCTGACAGTGAGTCGATCTGGCTACCACGTGTAACGAGTTCTACCTTTCCTCGCCTTTGCTAAGGGGTCGTGCTCACGCAGTCCGGGTCCGGCCTGTGGTGCACTGGGCTCTCAGCCTGGGGGCCGTGGGCTCCTCGGGAGCATTCCTTCTGTGACAACATAGTAGTGGCCATTGAACCTCACTGGATCCCTTGGTAATTCCAGCACTTTAAGAATGGGGCCAGCCCTGTAGTCTGGTGGCTAAGGGAGCTGGATCCCACGTGGCCGACCATGGCTCGAAATCCCAGCCTCAACAGCTTGAAAAATATTCTGAGTGCACGTATTTGCCTACCCCAAATTCCAAAAGAATGCAGAATGGAGGAGGAGAGATTTTGGTGTGACCACACCTACTTGAAGGGTGTCTTCGTCCTCTTCCTTTCTGTCTTTCCATCTGAAGAACTTATGCACTCTCTGACATTTTTTTTTTTAAGAATCTTAGGTGCAGAGGTCATGCACTGACCTCACGTGGGAAGTCCCAGTCCGTGTCTGGAGGCCTCCCTGTAACCGTGCATGCACGTGTGCCTGTATCCAGGCTGCTGGAGGCTGGGAGCAGATCGCGACCCGGAGAGCCTGTTGAGGATGTTCTCTCTCTGTCTCTCTCTCTCTCTCCCTCTCCCTCTCCCTCTCCCTCTCCCTCTCACTCTCTCTCTCTCACTCTGGAAATAAATAGATATAAAGAATCTTCAATGGGACTATCTTCTATCGATGTTAAACATCTCTTCAGTTTGGACAGGTTCTCATCTACTCACAGCCGAGAGGCTATTTAACTTCTTTCCATCTCATCAACCCCATCTGACACGAGGGGCAGTTCCTGCGGCTGTGGGGAAGGGAGTTCTCTGCTCAGGCCCAGAGTGAGCTCCTCCCACCCTGCCTGCAGATGGCAGAGGGATCGAGAAGGGAGCACTTGCACTCAGGGAGTCATTATCTGAAAGAGACAGGAGGCATGAACACACACACACACACACACACACACAGTCGTTTTCTGGAAGGGGTGCGGGAGGCTCCCTGTAGAAACACTCTCAAAGCAGACTTGTTTCGGTCGGTGGAATCCAGGCGCCTTCCCCCTCGTCTCGCCAAGCTGGAGGCTCCTTTGATTGCTTTAATTGCCCAGTGCAATGTGCTTGCCAAAAACACTGCTCGAAGTGACCTAGTAATTCACGAGGAAGCTGAAACCACATGGCATGCTCCCCACTGCCCCCAGAAAGCCTGGAGCCAGAGCTTAGGAAACCCTGATCTTTTCTCCTCCCTGTAGCCTCTTTAATTTCCTGAGGAGCCCCTATGCCTGTCTGCCTGTCTGGGTCTAATTCTCACAGTTTAAACTCTCTTTTCCCTTGAGAAGCTAGCTATTATGGGGCTTTCTTTTTTTTTTTTTTTTTTTTTTTTTTAGGACATTGG